AGATCCTGCCGGCACCCCCTTTCCCTTACCACCACACTGCACCCCTTGTAGTGCACCTTGTGTCCCCCTCTTTCTCTTACCTGCAGGGGGATATCGAGCGAGATATCAGCCACCATGCGCTTCTTGAAGTAGAACAGCTCCTGCCGGCACGTCTTAGAAGACAGCTTCCTCTCGTTCTCCGTCAGACACTTGAGCGTCGCCCCCCCACACGTCACCCCCGTCTCGGTGCCACTGCTTATTCCCAACAACCCAACCCCATACCACCACACTGCACCACTTGTTGTGCCCCTTGTAGGCCCCGCTAACACCCCTCCCTTTACCTGCAGAGGGATATCGAGCGAGATATCAGCCACCATGCGCTTCTTGAAGTAGAACAGCTCCTGCCGGCACGTCTTAGAAGACAGCTTCCTCTCGTTCTCCGTCAGACACTTGAGCGTCGCCCCCCCACACGTCACCCCCGTCTCGGTGCCACTGCTTATTCCCAACAACCCAACCCCATACCACCACACTGCACCACTTGTTGTGCCCCTTGTAGGCCCCGCTAACCCCCCTCCCTTTACCTGCAGGGGGATATCGAGCGAGATATCAGCCACCATGCGCTTCTTGAAGTAGAACAGCTCCTGCCGGCACGTCTTAGAAGACAGCTTCCTCTCGTTCTCCGTCAGACACTTGAGCGTTGCCCCCCCACACGTCACCCCTGTCTCCGTGCCGCCAGTTTCCAGAGCAGCATCACACGAGTGCAGGCAGAGACGCTCGACATCCACGAAGCACTCCTTGTTCAGACGGAAGTTGAGACGGTAGTCTGTGGATGGAGGGGTCAATGGAGGAATGTGTGGGTGGGTGGGTGAGCGGATGGTTATACCCAGCATCGCACGAGTGCAGGCACAGACGCTCAACATCAACGAAGCACTCCTTGTTCAAACGGAAGTTGAGACGATAATCTGTTTTGTGAGGGGTGTATGGGTGAGTGGGTAACATGGCAGATTAGTGGGTGAGGAATGGGGCTAAAACCCAGTGTCGCACGAGTGCAGGCAGAGGCGCTCGACGTCAACAAAGCACTCCTTGTTGAAGCGGAAGTTGAGACGGTAGTCTGTGGGGACGTGAGTGGGTGAACGAAGGGCAGATGGGTGGGTGGGTAGGAGGGTAGACCCAGCAGCACATGAGTGCAGGCAGAGGCGCTCGACGTCAACAAAGCACTCCTTGTTGAAGCGGAAGTTGAGACGGCCCATGCTGTGGGTGGGAAGGGAAGGGCAGCAAGGCAGGCGGGCATTGAGGTGCCTTTTGAGTCGACTCAAAAGTCACGCGGAGGACATTGAGACGTCTCAATGCACCCTAATCTTACTCACCCTCTGCTGCTGTCTCAAAACACGTTTTACTCTCACGCTGCTCTGCTCTGCTCCCCATGAATGCACAGACTACTCACCCTCTGCTGCGCGCGTCTCATCCTTCTTCACCTCCTCCCTGCACGCCTTGCCCGTGTCCGCCCACCCGCATACTAGGGCCGTACCTTGTCCCCACTCCCTACCCCTCTATTGAACTACCTACTCACCCTCTGCTGCGCGCGTCTCATCCTTCTTCACCTCCTCCCTGCACGCCTTGCCCGTGTCCACATCATACCATCCCAAACAACCCACCAGTCCCAGAAGCACCACAGACACAGGAGCACTCACCCTCTGCTGCGCGCGTCTCATCCTTCTTCACCTCCTCCCTGCACGCCTTGCCCATGTCCGCGTCCTCCACCTTGTCCTGCAGACACTTTATCACGTCCGGCTGGTCTGTGGGCATGAACACAACACAGATACGTAGCAGGACACTTTATCACATGTCCGCGTCCTCCACCTTGTCCTGCAGACACTTTATCACGTCCGGCTGGTCTGTGGGCGTTAGGAGAAAAGAGGATGCATGCACACATGCGGAAAAAAAAAATCGCATGACAAAGCACAGAGACAAGGAGCAGGAGCAGCAGGAGGAGCAGCAGGAGGAGCAGCAGGAGGGGCAGGATGAGCAGGACGGGCAGGAGGTACAGGAGGTGCAGGAGGGACAGGAGGGGCAGGAGTGGCAGAAGAGACACAAGGAACAGCATGCATGGTATACTCGTTATAAGGCAGTCTCACCCTTGCACAGGCGCTCCATCTCGTCGACGCATGCCTGCCTGAGTGGGAACTTGAAGTCTATGTCCTCTGCAAACCGCACCTCCTGCTCGATTGGCGGAGGGAGAACAGCAGGGGTTTAGAGACATGGACAAGGTGAGAAGCTTTGAGATCACAGCAGGACTTGAAGTCTATGTCCTCTGCAAACCGCACCTCCTGCGGGATTGAAGGAGAGGGAAGAAGGACGGTGGGAAGGTAGGCGGGAAGGACGTGAGGAGAACTTTACATCACAGCAAGACGTGACAGTTTCTTCTGCAAACACACCTCCTGCATGATAGTAGGAGAGGAGAGAAAAGGGGGATGGGATAAGAAAAGAGGAATGTGGAATGCAAGTTCTCAATCACCTGATGCCACACCTCCTTGCACACTTGCCTGCACACCTGATGACGTCACACCTCCTTGCACGCCTGACTGCACACCTGACTGCACACCTGACTGCACACCTGACTGCACACCTGACTGCACACCTGACTGCACACCTGACTGCACACCTGACTGCACACCTGATGACGTCACACCTCCTTGCACACCTGACTGCACACCTGACTGCACACCTGACTGCACACCTGACTGCACACCTGACTGCACGCCTCACCTCCTGGAAGAGTGCCTCCTTGCAGTTGGATGTGAGGCCCTTCCGGTGCTCCTGCAGGCACAGCAGCACGCGCGCATGGCCGGGCGGAACGTCCTTGCACAGCTTGGCGGAATCGTCTGCAGATGGGGGAGTGGACGGGTTGGGGGAGGGAAGGCGCGAGGGTGGGATGGGGGAGCCTCAAATGAAACCACGTCTGTGCTCCTGCAGGCACAGCAGCACGTTCGCATGGCCGTGCGGCACGTGCTTGCACAGCTTGGCGGAATCGTCTGCATAGGGGGGTGTGGGCGGGCGGGGATGGGAAGGCATAGGAGTCGGGGTGGGCCAGAGGACGGTTGGACGGTTGAACCGGATATCCTCTGAAGCCCGCTTGGTAAGTTGGTGCACCTGCTGCTGGCACCGCGCGTCCTTGAGCTCTGGCAGTTCACTCCATCCAGGAACACACACTCAAATGCATGCAAGTGTGCACAAACAGCCACTCACCCTTGCACGCCTGGGCGAGAGGCCTGTTGAACCGGATATCCTCTGAAGCCCTCTTGGTCAGCTGGTGCACCTGCTGCCGGCACCGCGGGTCCTTGAGCTCCCCCCGGTAGTCCTGCAGGCACTCAATCACCTTGGCATCGCGATTCGCCACATCCACCACATCCTCCGCGTCTTGATAGCACGTCTGAGGGAAGGAAGTGAAGGAGGGGATGGGGAAGAGGGGAGAAAGGCTGTGAGAATAGGCCATGGTAGTCCTGCAGGCACTCGATCACCTCGATCATCCTCTGCGTCTTGGTAGCACGTCTGGGTGGTGTGCATCATGGAGAAGGGGAAGAGGGGAGTGGGGAGAGGGGGGTGAGCTCCCTGCGGTAGTCCTGCAGGCACCCGATCACCTTGGCGTCCCTGTTGGCCACGTCTACTACATCCTCCGCGTCTTGGTAGCACGTCTGAGGAGATGAGCATCATGGAGAAGGGGAAGAGGGGAGTGAGGGGAGGGGGGTGAACTCCCCGCAGTAGTCCTGCAGGCACTCGATCGCCTTGGCACCGCGGTTTGCTACATCGCCTACATCCTCCGCGTCTTGGTAGCACGTCTGGGGGTTGTGCATTACAGGAAAAGGGAAGCGGAGAGTGGAGGGAGGGGCTGCGAAAATAGGTGGCGGAAGTCAGACGCCCATGCTTCCACCCTGCCCGTTTCACATTAGTATCACCACGCTGCCACGCTCAGAGTCCCACCCACTCACTGGGTTTCTCCCACCCACTCACTGGGTTTCTCCCACCCACTCACTGGGTTTCTCCCGCAGTATTTGCGAAGGTTGAAGTCCAGGCGGAAGTCAGACGCCCATGCTTGCTCGCTTCTACCCTGAACCGTTTCACACAAGACCCACCGTGCTGCCACCACTCGCCGTGCTGCTCCCTCCCTCCCTCCCACTCACCGTGCTGATATCCTCAGCGCAGTACTTGCGAAGGTTGAAGTCCAGGCGGAAGTCGGACGCCCTGCGCTCCATCATGTGCTCAAACTCGCCCTTGCTGTGTGTGGGGGAAGGGGGGGGGGAGGGGGGGGGGGGGGGGAGAATAGGGAGGTGGGGATTGGGGTCAACGAGACTTGAAGTCCAGGCGGAAGTCAGACGCCCTGCGCTCCATCATGTGCTCAAACTCGCCCTTGCTGTGGAGGGGAAGGGGGGGGGCGGAGAAGGGGAGGGGAAGAAGGGGAGGGAGTGAGAAGAAGAGAGCAGCAACATGAGTGTTGCCCTACGCTCCATCATGCGCTCAAACCCCACCTTGCTGCAAGGGGGGGGGGGGGGGTTGAAGGGGGAGGAGGGGTGGGGGTGAGGAAGGAAGGGGAGTGGATTGGAGTGCATGAGTGGTGATTGGGTTGAACTGTCTCGAACTGACGCCCAGCGCTCCATCATGAGCGCTCCCCCTTGCTGCCGTGGGGTTGGCGGAGGGGGATGGGTAGGGGAGAAAGGAAGGGGGGAAGAGGGGGAGGGGCGACGTGAGTGTTGCCCTGTGCTCTGCTCTCACCAGGTCTTGGAGAAGTCAGAGTCGAGCAGGTGGGACCTGGTGAGAGCGGAGCGCAGGGCAACACTCACATCGCCCCTCCCCCTCTTCCCCCCTTCCTTTCTCCCCTACCCATCGTCATACAAGACCTCTTGGAGAAGTCCCACCTGCTGGAGTCGAGCAGGTGGGACTCCAGGCAGTCTATCTATCACCTCGTCTCACCCGTGATCTCTAAACCCAAAACCCTGTCCGTCCCCCCACCCCCCTCTTCAACTCACCAGGTCTTGGAGAAGTCAGAGTCGAGAAGGTGGGTCTCCAGGCAGTCCTTCACTCGCGCGTCCCCTGGCAGCACGTCGGGGCAGAAGCGGCGCTTGTCCTCCAGGCAGGCTGAGAGGGGCAGAGAGGCAGGGCAGAGAGAGGGAATAGATGAGATGTAAAGAAAGAAGACTCTCAACTCTAAGCCTTCAACTTTAAACAGACACCACACTTGACTCTCGCATCCCCTGGCAGCACGTCGGGGCAGAAGCGGCGCTTGTCCTCCAGGCAGGCTGGGGAGGGGCAGCCGAGGGGAGGGGCATGGAGAAAGGGGGACGAGATGGGATGGGAGAAGAGGGAAAGAGGCAGCTTAGTGAATCCCCTCACTCTCGCATCCCCTGGCAGCACGCCGGGGCAGAAGCGGCGCTTGTCCTCCAGGGAGGCTGGGAGGAGAGAGGGGCAAGCGGGGGGACCAAACAACAGACCCCTTCGCTTTTGAGTTGACACAAAAGCCACATCAGGGCAGAGCCGTTGCCTGCTTCGCAAGCACGTTGGGTCCCAACGGTTGGGAGAGGTTGACATGCGAAAAGATGGTGAAAGGGGGTGGGGGGGAGGGGGGTGGTGAGTTGGGGGTGGGAAATGGAGAGGGCGTGGAAAAGGAGAGGGGGGAAAGGGTGAAGTGAAGGTTATTCCATTCGGAGGCAAGTGTGTGGACTGCACTGGCGCTCACCTTTGAAGAGGCGCGTGTTGAGGCGAATGTCCTCTGAGCTCTCAATCTCCTGCCGGAAAAGCTCCGCCAAGCACTCCCAGTTAAGGCTGTTCCTGTGATCCCTCTGGTGGGTGGGTGTACAGGAATACACAAACGATGGGTTTTTTAGACGTCTCAAAAATCACAAAGGAAAGGAAGAAAGGACGGAAAGAACAAGGGAAGAACAAGGAAGAAAGGACGGAAAGAACAACGGTGGCTACATTTTGGCATAATACCGGAGCCTGCCAGGCAATTTTAGCTGAGGCTTCTCCTCCGGTACCACACGCCCCACACTCCCCCTTCACCCACACACTGCACACCCACACCCACACTCACACCCACACTCACACCCGCCAGGCAGTCCTGCACTGTACCCGCCTCTCCCCAATGGGCACATCAGCCGCTCCACATCCCCAGAGCATGTCTGGTTGAGCTGAGGGTGCAGAGCAAAGTCACGCGCACTCTGGCCGCACAACACCCCCACGCCCCCAACCTCCTTCCCCCCAAATTTCCCACCTCCCCCCAGGCACCCTAGCAACCCACCAGGCAGTCCTGCACGCGCCCATCCCCAGTGAGCACGTCAGCGCACAGCCGCTGCACGTCCCCAGAGCACGTCCCAGAAGAATTCTACTTCGGAACCATACATACACTATGGACACCTACACCATCCCTTCCCCCCCTTCTCCGCCCTCCACTTACCAGGCAGTCCTGAACGCGCCCCTCCCCAGTGGGCACGTCAGCACACAGCCGCTGCACGTCCCCAGAGCACGTCTCGTTCAGCTGAGGGTCCAGAGCAAAGTCGTTGGCTGCGTCCTGCTGCGCCTCAAACACCTTCTGCCCACACGCCTCCGATATCTTGCCGCCCGACTTGGCCTCCCTGGAAGAGGGGATTTTGGAAGGGTTGGAGGGGTTGATTGGGGTTGGGGTTGAGGGGAAAGGGGTGGGATGGCTTGAGGTGAGGGTCCAGAGCAAAGTCGTTGGCCGTGTCCTGCTGCGCCTCAAACACCTTCTGCCCACACGCCTCCGATGTCTTCCCCCCTGACTTGGCCTCCCTGACCATGTATGGGATTGAAAGTTGGGTAACTGAGGAGCGAAGAGGAGGCATCGTGTGTGAGGAACGGAGAGAGTCCAGGGAGGAGGGAGAGCGTTGGGGAGGACGGATGGTGGAAATAGGGGAGCGAGGAGAAAGGGAGAAAGGAGAAATGGGGATGGGGGATGGGGGGACCAAGCAGCAAAAACCTCAAACCGGAGAGAACACTGCCTGGGTTAAAAAACTTCCCAGAAAAATATACAGGAGAGAGGAGATGTGACTTCAAAAAGGGGGTTTGAGAGAGGCTTTAGGAGGGGAAGGGAAGTGGTGCATGGCACGCACCTGAGGCAGGCGAGGACGCTGCCGACCTCTGGGTAGAGGAAGTCATTGTCACAGAGAGGAGAGGAAGGGAGGGACGGGGGGTGCGGGAAAGAGAGGGGAAGGGGTCCTTTGTTCGTTCTATAGAAGCGCACCTGAGGCAGGCGAGGACGCTGCCGACCTCTGGGTAGAGGAAGTCATTGTCACAGAGAGGAGAGGAAGGGAGGGACGGGGGGTGCGGGAAAGAGAGGGGAAGGGGTCCTTTGTTCGTTCTATAGAAGCGCACCTGAGGCAGGCGAGGACGCTGCCGACCTCTGGGTAGAGGAAGTCATTGTCACAGAGAGGAGAGGAAGGGAGGGACGGGGGGTGCGGGAAAGAGAGGGGAAGGGGTCCTTTGTTCGTTCTATAGAAGCGCACCTGAGGCAGGCGAGGACGCTGCCGACCTCTGGGTAGAGGAAGTCATTGTCACAGAGAGGAGAGGAAGGGAGGGACGGGGGGTGCGGGAAAGAGAGGGGAAGGGGTCCTTTGTTCGTTCTATAGAAGCGCACCTGAGGCAGGCGAGGACGCTGCCGACCTCTGGGTAGAGGAAGTCATTGTCACAGAGAGGAGAGGAAGGGAGGGACGGGGGGTGCGGGAAAGAGAGGGGAAGGGGTCCTTTGTTCGTTCTATAGAAGCGCACCTGAGGCAGGCGAGGACGCTGCCGACCTCTGGGTAGAGGAAGTCATTGTCACAGAGAGGAGAGGAAGGGAGGGACGGGGGGTGCGGGAAAGAGAGGGGAAGGGGTCCTTTGTTCGTTCTATAGAAGCGCACCTGAGGCAGGCGAGGACGCTGCCGACCTCTGGGTAGAGGAAGTCATTGTCACAGAGAGGAGAGGAAGGGAGGGACGGGGGGTGCGGGAAAGAGAGGGGAAGGGGTCCTTTGTTCGTTCTATAGAAGCGCACCTGAGGCAGGCGAGGACGCTGCCGACCTCTGGGTAGAGGAAGTCATTGTCACAGAGAGGAGAGGAAGGGAGGGACGGGGGGTGCGGGAAAGAGAGGGGAAGGGGTCCTTTGTTCGTTCTATAGAAGCGCACCTGAGGCAGGCGAGGACGCTGCCGACCTCTGGGTAGAGGAAGTCATTGTCACAGAGAGGAGAGGAAGGGAGGGACGGGGGGTGCGGGAAAGAGAGGGGAAGGGGTCCTTTGTTCGTTCTATAGAAGCGCACCTGAGGCAGGCGAGGACGCTGCCGACCTCTGGGTAGAGGAAGTCATTGTCACAGAGAGGAGAGGAAGGGAGGGACGGGGGGTGCGGGAAAGAGAGGGGAAGGGGTCCTTTGTTCGTTCTATAGAAGCGCACCTGAGGCAGGCGAGGACGCTGCCGACCTCTGGGTAGAGGAAGTCATTGTCACAGAGAGGAGAGGAAGGGAGGGACGGGGGGTGCGGGAAAGAGAGGGGAAGGGGTCCTTTGTTCGTTCTATAGAAGCGCACCTGAGGCAGGCGAGGACGCTGCCGACCTCTGGGTAGAGGAAGTCATTGTCACAGAGAGGAGAGGAAGGGAGGGACGGGGGGTGCGGGAAAGAGAGGGGAAGGGGTCCTTTGTTCGTTCTATAGAAGCGCACCTGAGGCAGGCGAGGACGCTGCCGACCTCTGGGTAGAGGAAGTCATTGTCACAGAGAGGAGAGGAAGGGAGGGACGGGGGGTGCGGGAAAGAGAGGGGAAGGGGTCCTTTGTTCGTTCTATAGAAGCGCACCTGAGGCAGGCGAGGACGCTGCCGACCTCTGGGTAGAGGAAGTCATTGTCACAGAGAGGAGAGGAAGGGAGGGACGGGGGGTGCGGGAAAGAGAGGGGAAGGGGTCCTTTGTTCGTTCTATAGAAGCGCACCTGAGGCAGGCGAGGACGCTGCCGACCTCTGGGTAGAGGAAGTCATTGTCACAGAGAGGAGAGGAAGGGAGGGACGGGGGGTGCGGGAAAGAGAGGGGAAGGGGTCCTTTGTTCGTTCTATAGAAGCGCACCTGAGGCAGGCGAGGACGCTGCCGACCTCTGGGTAGAGGAAGTCATTGTCACAGAGAGGAGAGGAAGGGAGGGACGGGGGGTGCGGGAAAGAGAGGGGAAGGGGTCCTTTGTTCGTTCTATAGAAGCGCACCTGAGGCAGGCGAGGACGCTGCCGACCTCTGGGTAGAGGAAGTCATTGTCACAGAGAGGAGAGGAAGGGAGGGACGGGGGGTGCGGGAAAGAGAGGGGAAGGGGTCCTTTGTTCGTTCTATAGAAGCGCACCTGAGGCAGGCGAGGACGCTGCCGACCTCTGGGTAGAGGAAGTCATTGTCACAGAGAGGAGAGGAAGGGAGGGACGGGGGGTGCGGGAAAGAGAGGGGAAGGGGTCCTTTGTTCGTTCTATAGAAGCGCACCTGAGGCAGGCGAGGACGCTGCCGACCTCTGGGTAGAGGAAGTCATTGTCACAGAGAGGAGAGGAAGGGAGGGACGGGGGGTGCGGGAAAGAGAGGGGAAGGGGTCCTTTGTTCGTTCTATAGAAGCGCACCTGAGGCAGGCGAGGACGCTGCCGACCTCTGGGTAGAGGAAGTCATTGTCACAGAGAGGAGAGGAAGGGAGGGACGGGGGGTGCGGGAAAGAGAGGGGAAGGGGTCCTTTGTTCGTTCTATAGAAGCGCACCTGAGGCAGGCGAGGACGCTGCCGACCTCTGGGTAGAGGAAGTCATTGTCACAGAGAGGAGAGGAAGGGAGGGACGGGGGGTGCGGGAAAGAGAGGGGAAGGGGTCCTTTGTTCGTTCTATAGAAGCGCACCTGAGGCAGGCGAGGACGCTGCCGACCTCTGGGTAGAGGAAGTCATTGTCACAGAGAGGAGAGGAAGGGAGGGACGGGGGGTGCGGGAAAGAGAGGGGAAGGGGTCCTTTGTTCGTTCTATAGAAGCGCACCTGAGGCAGGCGAGGACGCTGCCGACCTCTGGGTAGAGGAAGTCATTGTCACAGAGAGGAGAGGAAGGGAGGGACGGGGGGTGCGGGAAAGAGAGGGGAAGGGGTCCTTTGTTCGTTCTATAGAAGCGCACCTGAGGCAGGCGAGGACGCTGCCGACCTCTGGGTAGAGGAAGTCATTGTCACAGAGAGGAGAGGAAGGGAGGGACGGGGGGTGCGGGAAAGAGAGGGGAAGGGGTCCTTTGTTCGTTCTATAGAAGCGCACCTGAGGCAGGCGAGGACGCTGCCGACCTCTGGGTAGAGGAAGTCATTGTCACAGAGAGGAGAGGAAGGGAGGGACGGGGGGTGCGGGAAAGAGAGGGGAAGGGGTCCTTTGTTCGTTCTATAGAAGCGCACCTGAGGCAGGCGAGGACGCTGCCGACCTCTGGGTAGAGGAAGTCATTGTCACAGAGAGGAGAGGAAGGGAGGGACGGGGGGTGCGGGAAAGAGAGGGGAAGGGGTCCTTTGTTCGTTCTATAGAAGCGCACCTGAGGCAGGCGAGGACGCTGCCGACCTCTGGGTAGAGGAAGTCATTGTCACAGAGAGGAGAGGAAGGGAGGGACGGGGGGTGCGGGAAAGAGAGGGGAAGGGGTCCTTTGTTCGTTCTATAGAAGCGCACCTGAGGCAGGCGAGGACGCTGCCGACCTCTGGGTAGAGGAAGTCATTGTCACAGAGAGGAGAGGAAGGGAGGGACGGGGGGTGCGGGAAAGAGAGGGGAAGGGGTCCTTTGTTCGTTCTATAGAAGCGCACCTGAGGCAGGCGAGGACGCTGCCGACCTCTGGGTAGAGGAAGTCATTGTCACAGAGAGGAGAGGAAGGGAGGGACGGGGGGTGCGGGAAAGAGAGGGGAAGGGGTCCTTTGTTCGTTCTATAGAAGCGCACCTGAGGCAGGCGAGGACGCTGCCGACCTCTGGGTAGAGGAAGTCATTGTCACAGAGAGGAGAGGAAGGGAGGGACGGGGGGTGCGGGAAAGAGAGGGGAAGGGGTCCTTTGTTCGTTCTATAGAAGCGCACCTGAGGCAGGCGAGGACGCTGCCGACCTCTGGGTAGAGGAAGTCATTGTCACAGAGAGGAGAGGAAGGGAGGGACGGGGGGTGCGGGAAAGAGAGGGGAAGGGGTCCTTTGTTCGTTCTATAGAAGCGCACCTGAGGCAGGCGAGGACGCTGCCGACCTCTGGGTAGAGGAAGTCATTGTCACAGAGAGGAGAGGAAGGGAGGGACGGGGGGTGCGGGAAAGAGAGGGGAAGGGGTCCTTTGTTCGTTCTATAGAAGCGCACCTGAGGCAGGCGAGGACGCTGCCGACCTCTGGGTAGAGGAAGTCATTGTCACAGAGAGGAGAGGAAGGGAGGGACGGGGGGTGCGGGAAAGAGAGGGGAAGGGGTCCTTTGTTCGTTCTATAGAAGCGCACCTGAGGCAGGCGAGGACGCTGCCGACCTCTGGGTAGAGGAAGTCATTGTCACAGAGAGGAGAGGAAGGGAGGGACGGGGGGTGCGGGAAAGAGAGGGGAAGGGGTCCTTTGTTCGTTCTATAGAAGCGCACCTGAGGCAGGCGAGGACGCTGCCGACCTCTGGGTAGAGGAAGTCATTGTCA